TTTCCTGGAGTCTTCCCTCCGTTAGGCCGATGTCATAGTTTGCGAATCGAGCGATTCGCTAGCGAATCGCTCGATTCGCAAACTATGACATCGGCCTAAGGATTAGTCCCGTACCTCTCGATATTCTTCTGAAACGTATCAATCAAATTTCGTGAGCTTTGAAGTTGAATTGGTACGTTCTGCTAGCTCTACCACTCAAAATTCCAGGTTTTGCGGTTTTTAATGTTCACGGCCGATGCCAAACCTGTGCCTACAGTCGAAAGGAACGTGGAGAGTGACGAAGAAGGTTCCGAAAGTGAGAGCGATGAGAACGAGTCCGTTGACAGTAAAAAACGAAGTGCGACGGAATCGTCTACATTTACACTTACATCTGAAGAAAGCGAGGTTAGCTTTTCTGAGAAGGCTGCATCAAGTTACTAACGATGAATTTCAGGGCGAAGCCGAACCGGAACCAGAGCAGCCCTCTCTTGAGGAGACGTGTGCGACAAGCGGCTGGTGCGGACACTATGGAGATGTTTGAAGATGCCCTGAGCGAAGGAAAAGAGGTTGAAAGAAGAGAAAAGGAAAGCGGAGAGGATGAAGAAAGAGAAAAATAGCGACCTCAGTTCCGAAGATGACGAAATTGCCGTCGAAGTAGAAGCTCAACCAGGCACGCATAGTCAGGATTCTGAAGAGTATCAAGGTACCAATCCTTGGGAAAAAGAATATCCAATCGATGACAAAGAAGCTCTTAGTATGGTACGAATTTAATCATTTTTTCCATTTTTAGTTTCAGTAAAATCAAATCGCAACAGGCAATAAGAACCCAGCAACCTGATCTTTGTGATCGTTGTATAGACTAAGCAGGAAGTCTTTAAGGACATGGAACGCTTTTTCAAAACGGTTTTCTCTATCACAAGAATGCTGGGTTGTGAACAAAACTTTCGCCCCAGGCGGGACTAGAACCCGCACCTCTCGCTTTCCGGGCAAGTGCGCTACCAGTTACGCTACCGGGGCACCATTTCATTCCCAACTCAGCTTTTCATGGTATACTTACCATAGCTTCTGTTTGTTATTATTATGGCGCAATGTGGCTCTAGGGGGGGGCACTCTGAGAAAAGTCATCTAGGACTAAGCCTAAACAGCAGGGACGAACTCCGGAGAATACGAAAATTGCTTCCGTACACCGGAGTTCCTCTCCTCTTCAAAAGCTTAGTCCTAAAACGGGATTATTCGTGAAACTTCGGGTTTGATTCGATCGCACTGAACAAATTCTTTTGCATTTCGCGCTTGGTTCTCAGTTTCTCTGGGCTAATACGTCTGTACTTTATCAGTGCATACAACAACTCCCATATGCGCTATTCAACAGTACATTAATGCCGTCGAGTCTATCAAAAATGTTAATGTTACTTGCTGAGGAAGTTTCCTTTCCATTTTCTAGCAATCCTAGAGCCGCTCAGAAATCAGAAAAAAAGAAAAAAAAGAAAAGAAATCAGATCACCAGCTTCATGCACATAAACTCTATAGTAAGCACAACCCGCTTTGAAGATCGGTTCATTCCTGAACAGATTTTATGAATCGGACAAGAAATGTTTCATAAGATCTAATTAACTTCTGGTCCATATAAATCCTAAGTAACACGATCAACGTATCATTCATATTAGCATCGCAAACTACCTGTTCAACAATTCCTTGAGTTTTCACAGAAACATTGAATGTACGCTTCAAGTAAGAAAAAGCAGTGCTTCGATGGAGGATTCGATCTCAGCTGCAAACTCTCTTTGATATAGTGAGCAAGTACTTCCATACTTTAGCTAAGATAATATCTCTTAAAATAGATGCATACAAAACAATCTCAGCAAAACGAGAAGAGAAAAATAAATTGAAAAAAAAACAGAATGCATATTTATTTATTTGTCTTGAAGCCTATCCAAGATTGGGAAGTTTAATAGACCAAGGTTTTGCCGCTTTCCCTTTCATCAGAAATGCATGGCCTTGAGAGCAAAGAACATTATTTTAAGGGCTCTGTCTAGTGGGAAATAGTAAGGAAGTTATACAAACGCATAAAAATAAATGTAACAACTAAGTGGTGAGAAACAAACAATTAAACGAAACAAGGGCCGCGAACGGGATCAGCATTGAATGTGCCAAGGTTGCCCATTGCCTACGTTGAGGGCCATACGTTGCCTGTGTGGTATACGGAACGCACGCGCTGCTTGCCTATATGTGCGGCCGCCTTGACACTGCATCCGTTCATTCCTGAACATATACTAAAATTGGAACAATACAGAGAAGATTAGCATGGCCCCTGCGCAAGGATGACACGCAAATTCGTGAAGCGTTCCAAAACTTTTGCGTCCCTCCCATAACAATGATCCGTAAAACTAAATATCTGTGTTTTACCTCTAGTGAACATCCCTAAGAAGAAAGTTTTTGTGGCATATGGAACAGTGAATCTATCATCAAGCACATCACGTCCGGATAGTAACCCACTTTTGTAGCCTTTGGGGGATTGCAGCTCTGCAATGCCCCTTCTCCTTCCTTCAGAACACAGAACTCTCCTAGTGAAGGGGCTCATGGAGGGACCACTGAAGACTATCCTCTATGCTGACGACATCGCCTTGATAGCGGATAGCAGAGAGGAACTTCAAGCCAAGGTGCAGAAATGGCAGAAAGTCCTGGCAGAAGGTGGGCTCCGGCTGAATGTCAAGAAGACCAAGTTCCTGAGCTCCGAAGAGGGTGCAGAGCCGATCGTGGACGGCCATGGTGAGACCATCGAAAGAGTGGAGGACTTCCGCTACCTTGGGAGCGATCTGGCAGCCGACGGTAGTGTGGATCAGGCAGTGAAGGCTCGGGTCAACGCTGCATGGATGAAATGGAGGGAGTCCACTGGAATCTCTGCGATCGAAGGTGCTCCAGAACGCTCAAAGGGAAGGTGTACCGGACAGTGGTAAGGCCTGCGATGCTATACGGCAGCGAGTGCTGGCCCCTGAACAAGAACCACGAAAGGCAGATCCCACTAAAGACCACTAAAGACAATTCTGGTGCAGAAGTGGCAGGAAGTGCTTGCAGAAGGCTGGGCTCTGGCTGAATGTCAAGAAGACCAAGTTCCTGAGCTCCGAAGAGGGTGCAGAGCCGATCGTAGACGGCCATGGTGAGACCATCGAAAGAGTGGAGGACTTCCGATACCTTGGGAGCGATCTGGCAGCCGACGGTAGTGTGGATCAGGCAGTGAAGGCACGGTCAACGCTGCATGGATGAAATGGAGGGAGTCCACTGGAATCCTCTGCGATCGAAGGTGCTCCAGAACGCTCAAAGGGAAGGTGTACCGGACAGTGGTAAGGCCTGCGATGCTATACGGCAGCGAGTGCTGGCCCCTGAACAAGAATCACGAAAGGCAGCTTCACTCCGCTGAGATGGGCCTGCGGCTGGACGCGCTGGACAGGGTCAGAAACGAGGATGTCAGAGCGGTCATGCAGACTGCCCCTGTCCAGCTGAAGGTGAGGGAGCAACGACTGCGTAGTGGTATGGACATGTGCTAAGAAGACCACAAGGCCGATAAGGAATGCGATGGACTTCGAAGTGCAAGGCAAGCGACCGCGAGGAGCCCCAAAGAAGAGGTGGAAGGACGTAATCAAGAAGGACCTAAGTGAAATCACGGCCACAGCAGAAGATGCCCTAGACAGAGCGAAGTGGCGACGACTGACAAAGACAGCGGACCCTGCGACTGCGCGGGACTAACGCTAGGGAGAAGAAGAAGAAGGTTAAAGAACTAAAAAAGTTCAAATAACTTCGTATAGCATACATTATACGAAAAGTTATCTACGAAGGAATGGTCAGGGTCCTTGTTGGATCATCAGATTCGCCATAATCTTCCGCATTAGTTCCATTTCATCAGAGCTTAGAACCATTGAAAAAACCTTTCCCAACTTCTTAGAAACAGCGCTTAATTTTTTTTTGTCATGTCCAAAATTCACTCCGATAGATATAGAAAGGGGTCCCATCCAGTAAAGGGGGGGGGGGGTGCGCGTAATAACTTCGTATACCAAGAAGAAATCCACTTTCAGGGAGGATGTTGGGGTGGTGTACTTCCTATGGATGAGGCCCATAGAAGGTTATCCACAAATGAAAGTAATCGGGGCAGTTCTGTGGCAAAAGCGCACTTTACATACTTCACATTTATGAGTTATCAAATAAACCTACTTTTTGATGGGTTACTAAAACTATCACCGCCGATGGGTTAAAATCTGACATACAAAAACGCAAAAAATTTTGGAACGCTTCACGAATTTGCGTGCGTGTCATCCTTGCGCAGGGGCCATGCTAATCTTCTCTGTATTGTTCCAATTTTAGTATATGTTCAGGAATGAACGAGAACAGTGAGACAGCCGACGTATATATAGAGGCGGTGTGCGGTGCGCCGTATGCAGCACGGGTACCGCTGCGCGCAGAGTGTGTGATAATTCCGGAACTCATTTTTGGTAACTTCTTCCACTCTTTACGACAAATGCCATAGGTTTTACATGAGTACATCAGAACTAGGCTACTACCAGTTCAGTAGAGCCTTTTACTTTTCGTTCAGCTAAAATAATGAAACACGATTTCTTTATTAACACGTTGACGACATCGCATGTTTTGGCATTTTGCACCTCGTGGGACAGGAGCGATTTTGCGACCGCGCCGTCCTCACCTTACTTCCGCTTATTTTTTGTTAAAAATGCACAATAACTAGAATTTCATAGGACTATTTCGACAAGGATGAACGTATAAAGGTTAACTGTATAAGTAGCAGTAGGTTTTTGTTTAGAAGAGTGCATAATGACCACGAAGAAGTAAAAAACACGCTTTCGCTGCGAATGAAATTAAAAGCATTTGTATCTAAGTATTTCCATCACATGCAAATATATTGAAACTCACAGAGTTTTGTATTAACTAATTCTACAATCTTTCATATAAATGTTAACGACAGTGAAAGGAATACTAGGAAAGAATTGAAATGAAAGTTTTGTGCGTTCGGAAAATTTTTGCTAAATCAATAGGATACTTGACCACTCTGGCTGCCAGGCGGTTTATAGTTATGCTAATGTATTATCTATAGAATGAATACAAGAAACCCGAGAAGGAGCGCAAGCACGATAAAAATGAATAACACAGACTTGACGCGCTTGCGCGTCAGGATGTCCGATGCGGTGCGAAATACTTGACGCGCATGCGCGTCAACTTGTCGTCAACGTGTTAAATCATTATTTTTGAGATTAGTCGAGTCTAAAGCTCCCTAATTTGTAATTAAGAGTTATCGTTGGAAATAGCCTGATTTGGTACGATGCGCGTGTCTGAATCTTCACTTGATAGGGTGTGTGTGATTGTAAGTCATGGTAGCAACGGTAGGGCAGGAAAATAATCGATTCTCTAAAATAAATTGAGGATTTTATATTATATTGAGTTATAGAAGTGACTTATTGGAGTTAAATTCCTTTAAAGGCGTGAGAAATATTTTTTCCACGACAGTAATGTAACACAAGACAATGGACACTGAGTGACTGCAGTGATGGTGAACGTTTAGAAGCTCCGAACAAGCCTGGAATGAACTGTTTTCCCAACGGCAGTCTCGTTTTCTCTAGCGCACTCTTCATCGAGAGAACGCGTAGTGGCGGACCCGCGAACTCTACGTCGCACGCGTCGAACGGGACTCAGCAGGTTTCAGATCGTTGGTTTTAACCCAGTATCTCAAGGTACTACGGGCTTCTGACCTTTCCACTTGTGGTTGCGTCAAAACCTTAATTTTTGGCTAGCCTTCTCGGGGAATCCGGGCAAAAGAAGAACGATGCCTTCATGGTGATAGATTAGCGTATGCTTGCACTGCCTTCTTTGCCATTAACACCTTGGAGCCCACGCAGCCCATATGTGGGCTGCAGCCCTCCGACCGCATAGGACCTTTCAGCTCGCATTTCGAAACAATTATTAGGTTTTTCATTCATTTTCTTTTCCATTTTATCCGATAAGATTTCTTCTGCATTACACAGTGGGTTCTTCTTTTGAATTTGCTAGATAAGATCCCTAAAAATCTCACCGAAGTCCCGCGCGGCCGCGGAACGTAAAACACGCGCGGTCTCCAAAGTGTTAAGCTGGTAAGGAACATCGAAAGGCGAACCATTTTTTATGTCCGGCAAATGTAAAACCTACTTCTGATTGCCTTTCTGCCACATGAAGATCAAAGCTTTCATTATCAGCCTTTCGGCTTCGCCGTCACACAGCTGGCTTCTATTCAAAATCGCAGAGCCACTTGAATTTCTTCTTAGGACCACATAACTAATTGTGAGAGCCAGTGAAAATTCAAAGAATAGTTTTTTCTTGGTGGGTTTGATGCTAAATGGCGGTGCGAGGCAATGTTTTTTTTAGTTGCCCTGAACAGCTTGCACTACCTCAGTACCTTGCCAGCAGTACCAGGGTTCTTATGGCAACCACCACTCGCAAAATTGCTAAAATTTATACCTATAATACCCATAATATACCTCCAAGTTGACAAAGAGTAATGTATCACAGTCACATCAGTTTATTATCAGATTATTCGACCATGTGTTAAATATAGACCAGGTTGGTAAGTTTCACTGTAGCAAATTCGAAATAAACTGGTATTTGTGATAATAACAATTTATTCCACAGTTACATCACAAGAAAAACTTGGAAAGCTCCTCCTCAAGCGACAGCGGTAGTGATGAAGACGAATCGTACTCCCCATCGGGCGAGGATGATGGTAATATTATATTTCAGTTTCATAAAAACTTTGAAGACGTGGTTAAGAATGTAGTCAATCTGATGAAACTTTTACAGAACAACCAAATGACGTGGAAGGTACATCTGTTACCGCTGCAGACGCTCTGAATGACGCAAGTGAGTTCTTGACCATGGATTTGAACAAAACATTATTTTCCTCAAAAGTGTTAATAAGCTCATCTGTCAGATTCGCTACGTCTTGGAATGGGAGATTTTGTGTTCTACAGCGTACTTGTTGGACAGGCTGCAACTACAGGTAATTCTCATATCTGAGGGGTGGAAGAATGGAGTACAGAACAGACGCTAAAATACCCTTAGAAATAATTAAAGGAAAAACCCACTATGACGAAAGATCTACCCATAGTAGTCAATGAAGTTCCTTCAGATTTGTTATGACATAACACTAGCAAAGTCCAACTTTTGTGAATGTTTACCATGGCTCTTCAACAATCGGAAGACAGTGAGCATTCAACACAGTTCATCGCGACACTGTGCAGAGCAATGGTGTGAAGAAATAATTGAATACCATTTTGTCGAGTAAATGTGTCCATGTACTAATTACTGAGAAATACAAGTGTCCTTTCAGGAAATGTTGGAGCAACGATCGCCGCGGCGTTGGGTGTTGTTTATGGTCTACTTATTACTCTCACTTACTTTAGCAATGGTAAGTGCTTTCAATTCCTCCGTATTGCACTGGGATATGTGCATCAGATGCCTGCAATAATCCTCGAGAACCTAGCAATTGAAAATGTCCAGCGGATATAATGCATCATGTTTCAATTGGGTGAAAATGTCCAGCGAGAATGCATTCAATGTTTCAAAAATGAGGGCAATTGGCGGCATCAATAACCCCATCTTTGATACTCTGGGTGGCCTGTAGAAACACACCCAGAGTTATGAGAAGACGCCTTTCCTGTTTAGCTTCCTCGGGGTTTTCACGGGTTCTTAACGTACACAACCGCGGTGGTGTATCTGAATGGATGTGCGTAGGCAGATGGTCAAATCGCGACGGAAAGATCGCGATCGATCGACATGCGCGGCTGAGGATAATGGAAATGTCTTCTTGTGGCCGGTATCAGACTTTGCGAATCCAGCGATTCGCTAGCCAAGCGTTACTTTCAGCGAATCGAGCTGTGTACCCGCGGTTCGAATGATGTACTAGCGAATCGACACTGTCCGAAACAGGCCGGACTCTTTTTAAAAATTGCTCTCGCTGATTCCCCGGGCCTCTCGAGAGGCAATGGCATCTCTGGAAAGTGCGCGAGGTCAACGTGAGTAAACGAGAAAAGTCTGCCACTTCCAACACGTTCGAGTGCGGCGTTTACAATTCGTGATCGCAAACTAAATACGTGGCGCTGGGGTGCAACGCTCGTTGTCCGCGAGATCCGCTAGCGCATCGCTGAGCTGGCAGTCTGACATTCGCGCCGTTAGACAGAGTTAGGGGGTATACCAGGAAGCTCATGTATTCGATAGTGTTTTTAAGGCGTATTTGTTTCTGCGAAAATTTTCGTAGTCTCGCGTTCCTCCGGGCGCGTTTGCTCTCTTAGTGCACAGATTGTGACCACCTGCCTAAGCGTCGCCAAGGATGTAGTGAAAGAACTACCACTTGGGACGCAACAGTTTACTATCTGGTGAGCTGTCCTCGTTAACGCACTCAAAAATATTTAAGAATTTAAGTATTCGTGAGTGAAACTTGCACATGCAGAGGAGTGTTGCGCTCGTTCTGGGTTGACGTGTTTGAAGAAAAAGTTGATTGGAAAGAAAGAATGATTTTGTACATATTATTAGGGATTGTGTGAGATTATATCACTTACAAAATCTTACAATAAAACGCAAGAATTTAGAAAAATGCAGGTGATACAAATGTGAAAACGCGTATCATGTAAGGAAAGTAAGAGTGGAGCCGAACAGTCTATGGGCAAAAGGAAAAGGAATAACGAGAAGAATGAGCCTTCCCTTGCGACCAAATTGTTCTCTGAGAATTTTAGGGCGCAGCGAACGACGCCGGCCCTTCGATCTCTATCGTACTCCGGCCACCGTTTTCCATTCGCGCATTTCTGTTTGGGAGGCCAGAGCATATGCGTGTACTACACGATGCTATGATTCAATCGACCTGTGATTAGGGTGTGACAATAATTCGACGTTGCTCAATAATTACTCCATCAAGCAATTTCATGGCGTCGAAACCGTTGAATACGTCGGTACATTACTGCGGCCTTATATGTATTTTATATCTTGATTTCATTTTTGTCGCCTAGCATTTTGTGCTGATGTTTGCTCATTTGTAGGCGGTGTTCACTTATCAATGAACGAGGCGCCTCGTGCCTCTTAACACTGCAATAAAATGCCAGAATTTGACCAAAACCAAAAAAGTCGGAAACTGAACAGTTTCCAGGAGCGAACCTAGGACACTCTCCAGAATTCTTGGACCTCAGAAGTTTAAGCTCACCGGCGCCAGCTTGTGAACCTTAGCCGCAACGTATACTAACATTTGAAGTATTGAAGTCCGGTATGCAAGCTTCTATTTTGCAAAATAAACGCTTCCCTGTACAAAATCGAGATTTTCTGACAATATACACAATATAAAATCATTTATGCCTAAAATATAATATTTCTCATCTGCGTGATCTTAGACGGTCGTTTCAGCTTATTCCGATTAGCTGGCCGAGTTCTCTTAAACAAGTCCTCCTCTTGCTGTGGCTTGCGTGGCTTCAGAGCTAAACATAAACTAAATAAAGAGAAAACAGAAAATAAAACAGAAGCAGTCCTTCAACAACATAAACAATATGAAATGAAATCCCTCCCCATATTTATCTTTATACCTTTTTTTGTGCCAATGAGCCCCCCAGGTGAAATGTCGATCTATCATCTTGAAGAGATGACCGTCTGTTCAAGGCCTATACATCGCCAAATTTTAAACAAGGTTGTTTGCTAGGCAAAAGCGCTGCGAATAAAGGCATTTAGCGCTTTAGAGCAATTGAGCCTTGCATAGGCATTGGAGGACGATATGTTCGGAACGACAAGCAGTCAATAAACGTCTACCCACAAACTCGAAGACAGGAAAAGGTATGAAGAAAAAAAGATCAGCTTTAATGAATCAATATGCGAAGAAACCAACCTTCTGTTTGAGGGTCTGGATCATCTGTTACGACATTATCCGGTTCATTTGCCATGGTGTCCCTGTGAAAACATACAAAGTAGTTTAATAAAAAAGGAAGATTCTTAATAGCTTACATTTCCTCTTCCCTATTTGCTGCAGGGACTTCATGTTCGACTTCGGATGAGTTCGATGCCGCTATCGAAGTTGTTTCTCAAAATCATATAAAAATAAAGAGACCTCCGGGAAATGCATTTTCACATTAAATCAAACTTTTTGCAACAAAAGATTGATGGTTTTTTTTATAGGATAGCGGAAAAGACAAAAGCATGACAGGAGCTACTCGGAATGACCTAATATTTTGACTTCCCTCTGCCACTGAAGTACTGAGCAATTCATGTATTCTCACCTTCTGCAATATGACTAGTAGTCCTGGACTGTTTCAGTTTAATGTTGGGTCTTGCTTTCTCAAAAGCTCGTTTCCGAACAGGCGCCGGGTCAGACCTAGATGAGTTAGATTTTATCTTGAGGCCATCAACATCTACAACTAATTAGTAATAAAATTTTAATGAACCCACTTGGGTATTAGAGAGCCGCGCCTTAGCCACCTTAGGAGGTGTAGAAGATGTATCGAGTTCTACTGTGGAGTGTCCAACTGGCTCCGGTTCATCATCTTAACGCTACTATTTTGGTAAACAAAGAAATCCTCATAAATATGGAAACGCACCACCATCGCTAATGTCTTTGGAAACACATGTTTGGTCCTCCTGGTCGAAGCTATTTAGTGCTGGAGCTTCGCTGTCTTTGGAAGTACGTGGCTGATCGTCCTGTTCAACGTTGTCCAGCACTGGACTCGTTTCGGTAGTTTCAGCGCTGGATTCACTCATTGTAATTATTTTCGCTTTGGAGGTGGACCTGAAACGTGGTTGTAAGAATATCTACAAAAGAAATAGCTGTAGAACGATTTCTCCAAGTTATGTCGTTAGGAAGCCGAAAGGCTTCACAAAGAAGTAAATAAGTAAGTTGAACTAATTCCGCCCGAACAGAGCATTTTTGACCGAGATCATTTCCTAAATCCACGATTACTACACCCTGATGGAACCAAATCAAAATTTGATTGGGGCCAAGAAAACCATGAATTCCGGCGCAAATTAAATGTCGGTTTGTATCTTCTTTTACAAACGGGTAATAAAACGAGATTAAAACAACTGTAATATATTAACAATAACTTTAATGAATACAAGCTTTTAAGAAAAAAAGAATTCCTCCGAATTTCGTAGTTCGTTCACACAAAGAATTGTAACCTATGGAATGATTTACCTCCTTCTGTGATTAACTCGAGCTCTCCTAGCTCGTTTAGGGAAAGGTCAAGAAGATTATGTTATCGCAAGGTTGGTTCTGAGAACAAAAAGTTTTTTGCTTACAAGACAGAAGCGATTGTCTCATGATTTTTCCTAGTTTATGGAGTTGTGTAATATGAAGTTTCATGTTTGTGACTAGCGGCCCTCTCCGAAGCTGTGCAGCTCTGGGAGTTGGGATTCGACAAGGTTGGCGGACCTACTAAGTTGGTATCCGGAGCTCTATCGCGCCTCATGAGCTTGCAGTGTTGGCGGCCGCTGCCCTTCTGCGTCGTTTCCACTCCCTCTCCACGCAGTTCGGCTTCTTTGTTACCTCAGTAGTTCAAAATCTGTTGTTTACCGGTCGATTTGCTCCTAATATTCACTTTTTCATTATGTTACTTGTCTTCGATTACGATAATAAATCATAAATCATATCCCAACACAATCAACTCATGCCGGCCGGTTGTGAATTACGAGACTGTGGCTGCGATTATGATTCACTAATGTAGCACTTCAACCTGGATGGAAGACAGAACGAATTAAATTTGCTTGATATCAAAAACGTTGATTATCGCGAAGCGGAGACCTTTTACTCCAAAGAATACGTCTATCGGAATTTATCGCTCACATTACCGGACGCTTTAATCAGTTGACTAGCTCCGTTCTCTATTAAGCAAGTGGTCGTCTGATCCTCAGCATATCAAGCTCTCTAATAATTTATAATAACGATCCGAAAGAAAACATACGGAGTTTCAGAAGTAGAAGCAGTAGGTTGTTCATGTTCCATGTTCATTCTGGGAAGAAGATCACTTGTCTTTATTACACGAGGGGCTTGCCTTTTCCGATAACAGTATGATGAAGTACCATATACATCATCACTTGAATCCGAATCGTCGCTATCGGAATCTTCATCACTCTCTTCTGAACTTGTGACTATAAATTTATACAATGAAAAAAAAAACCAACTGCACCAACCATCATATCCATCAAGATTTTCTTCGGGCGCTTCTCCATCATTCTCGTTCCGATGCATTTCCTTCCACTTCATCTCTTTCTTCGTCAGCTCCAGAAGCTCTTGTGCTTTTATTGATAGCTATAATGGACAACGATGATTTAAGCAAAATCGATGCAGACTAGACATTAATAGTCTGCATAAAAAGCTATGTTCACTACATTGGCATGGAGCTGGACTATGTACTTTTCTGCTAAATTCGTGGGACGTATGACAGGAACAAGCCACGTGCAGCTCATGGAACGGGCTCAACCTTGCTGCCTTTCTCCCTCCTCTCCACTGTCTAACAGGTTTCTCTCTTACTTCATTTTTGAGGACCGTATGCTAATGCTGATGAAATATGTTCAAAGGCACTACCCAGGCAGGGTTGTTGTGTGAAAGGTTCCCTTCTGTCTAAAGGACCCCTAGAAGGTAATCATAGATGTGGCGCTGCCGTGAATACGAATCACCCAACAGCGGCGCTAGGGCCTCGCAAAGTAAAATGCAATGCTCGCCGTCCGCACCTTGTCTTACGCTCACTCACCGCGCACCCTCCTCTG